CGGTAAAAGTTACAGCTTCATTGGAAAACACTTTATATTTCAGTACTCCAACATACGGTTGCTGCTCTCCGGCGTTGCGGCAGCTGAGGGAGGCTCCGCTGTTCTCCAGCACTCACCGAGAGCTGGCAGGTCCCTATTTTCCAGCCACAGCAAAGCAAACGGCATCTTAACTGGGTTCCTTTACCAGATCCGAAATCAGCCGGTCGGAGATTCATCCCACTTTGCAAAAGGAGCAAAATGAGCGCGGAAACAAACATTTCTATGAAAACATATGGCAGCAATGGAAGGCTCAACTGAGCAATAACAGCAAAGGTTTCTGTTCTGTGCTCAAGGAACTGAGCTTCCCGAGTAGAAAGAGAGGAATAACATCTACATTCAAGATGGGAGTTCCCACAGGCCCCAACCAGCCTGCAGAAATTCCTCCCCCTCAAAGCTTACAAATGGGGCACGTGTCCAACATCTCATCCAAGATGTTACAGGTTGATCAATTAAAGAAGAATTTCTCTAAGCCCTGTCTTCCTCCCCAAAAGCACCATATGTACTCGTTCCTCGCAGCCGAGAGAAGAGCTGTGTTAGCAGCACCGCCTGTTCTCCTCTGCATCTCCCAGCAGACAGGTCACAGCTGGTCTCTCCTCCTCTGGGGCCAGTTGGAGGGTCTGTCACAGGCTGCAGGAACCACCCTCAGCCCAAGCGTTCTTTAGGAGAGCAGGGGCACGGGTTGGGGAAGGGAAGACGTGCACATTTAAACTGTTTATCTTGGCTCTGTTTGTGACAGATGCTCTCATGCAAGTTTAAAAACTCACTCTGTACAAAAAGAATCATCTGCTTTAACAGCCAAACGGGGGATCCAGCTGTGCTCTTAAAGCCGACTTACCAAATATGGAATTTTGCGGAGGGCCACCTCAAGGTAATGTCTTAGCCTTACTGAAAGCACAGCATTTTACGTTAAACAGAAAGATACCATAGGTGAGTTATGGAACAAAGCTTGTAGCCATTTGCTTTATTTAATGATCCCGACAGCAACTTGAAACCAGCGTTAAGGAATGGTCAGGGTATGACAGTCTCCTTCCAGGAAAAGCTGCTGGGGACATCTCTGCCATACCAGTTGGAGTGCTTTTCCTGCAAGCTCAGTTTCACACTCCTGTTGCTGTCCAAGATACCGGCTCTAAACCAGTGTGCACGGTGAGACCTCACCGAGGAAGTGTAAAGTCCAGGTTTGTACCAGCTCCAAGCAAAGCCCGAGTGTTTATACCAAAGGGCTGGAGCAGAGGCTGAAGAAGCTGCGGCCACTCAGAGCAAGGGCCAGGGGAGATGGGACTGCTGAGGCACGGAGCGCTCTGCAGCAGCAGGATGTTTCTAGAGCCAAGCTTCTCTGGAAAAGAACAGTATTGTTGGGAAAGGCTTCCACAGAGGAGACGTGACTGCTGCTGTACGTCACGCTGTACAGTACCAAGCACAATGGGGGCCTTTATCTTGTTTCTGGTCTTTACCAAAATCCTACAAATAATAAGATGTGGATTAGTCCTTTGGGGAAATCAGGAGATGAAAGATCACTGGTGCTTGTTAGCTCACAGCCAGCGGAACACTACCTCCAGTGGCTACGTGTCAGTATGAAAGGGAAGGTTATTCAGGTGACTCAGTCTTCAGTACTCAAAGGAATCTCTACTCCTGACAGATTTCAGCAAGTCCTGTATCACCCCCGGAATGTCTGGCTAATTAGAGCATCTTTGAGAGACACATCCGATGCTGACGGCTATTTTGGGATTTCAAATTAGCTTTTGCAGACTCTAGGCTCAAATCTGAACGTAGTAATGCGATGAGAGGGAGGAAGATACTTGATGCAGGGCACGTTTTCAAAATAGTTTTGCCATATACAGTTATTTTCAATATATTAAGATTTACATTCCTCCATAACATTAAAGTCTTTCACAGAAACATGCAACAAATGCAATGCACAAGCAAGCTGTATTACTCCAAAGGCAGTGTCACAAGATCCACTTCTACTGGTAAAAAACTGCATCATAATAGATGATCTCTATCAAATCTTTTCCACTTGATATAAAAGCTGTGCCTATTAAGAAAGAAATGGGAGAGATTGGTACAACACCATATAAATTGATGTTCCAATTACATCGTAAATGAAGATGCATTCGATAAACAGGCCACAAATCCAGACACGTTATGATTTCCCCTAGCAGAAAATTACAGATCCAATTTTCAAGTTAAAGTTTTTTCACGTTAAAGAATTGAGGGTAATCTCACTCTGCCACAGCACTTCCACATATTACCGCTTTCTTGTTCTTAATACTCCTAAGAAAAGAGAAGCTCGCCTGGTAGCTTCACAATTCCATATAAAATAAGACTTATGTCCTTCGATGTCCTACGCCCAGGGCTTTTCATGGCTGTCTTTTGAAGCCACTAGACTCCTTCAGCATTCCAAGGGTTTATTTCTTTGTTCTTCTATTTATGGAGCTCAGACTTTCAGTGATCTCGAGATTTGAGAGAAAGCGATTAGCCGTCCCCAAAGGAAACGCTTACGGCTGCTGCCTTGGGGCGCGGGGGGGAGACGTGTCCTTGCCGTGTAAGCAGGTCACGCCGCTGACGCGTGATGATCTCCCCATCCAAGGTACCACTCGGTTGGCAAGGACTTGCGTGCATTTATCAGGGCATTTACTGGGGAACCAGCACATCAGCGGGGCCAGAGCAGCCGCCAGAGGGAGCCCCGCCACCGTGGGTGCTGACCGGCACCAGCACCCAAAGGTGCTGGGGGTCCATCACCCCTCCCGGGGGTGCTCGCTCGCTGACACCAGGCGTGCAGCCCTGCGGGGCCCCGAGCTAAACACGGCCCAGCCAGGCCGGCAGGACCGCTGCCCGAGCCGCCTCTGGCAACGAGATCAAACAAAAAGCTGTAAAAAAAGAGCGGCCAGCAGCCAGATCACATTGCAGAGCCCGTCCGTGGGGGTGTGGGAGCGGGGGGATGTAGCGAGGTCTAGCTGGGCAGCATCTGGCTAAAATCTGCAGTCTAATTTTAACGCATTATGGACTCGTACAGGAATTCCTATCGAGCCATTCCTTGGGCTGCTCTGTTTCTCGAGCGCGGCGTAAGGACTTCAACACCACCTCGCTGCCGAGAGCCAGCATCTCAGCCGGGAACCAGCTCCGAGAGGCAGATCTCCTTCCCCTTCTTTCCTCAAATCCACTTAAACCTCCTTTTCTCCACGGGATCCCAGTGGGAGAGCTCTACGCAAGTACACACCGAAGCCTCCTCCACACCACGGCCTCTGCGAGAGCGTCGGCCACGGAACCGGCCTTTCGCGGGCGTAGTTTATGTGCGGGCATATAAAGAACGGCTTCGATTTAGCAGCTCAGATGGTGCCGCCCCCCACCTCCCACACGGAACGTGTTAGCAGCTTGCAAGGGGTTGCAAAAATAAACAAACTTACCCACTTCGTGTTGCCCCGGCTCATCTTCACCCAAGTGATTCACTGCGACGTACTCTTGACTCCTGCAAATTGAAGACATTTGTGAGTCTCCTTAATGGAGGCACAAATCAAAAGAAAGATTCCTGCATGCAATTACACAGGAAGGAAAACATGCAACTTAAGCTGAGCTTTGAACATTTCACAGTAAATATCAATACTGGGGTCTAAAAAGGGCCATCATTTTACAATTTTAAATAACTGAGCAGAATTTTTTTTTGGCAGTAGCAGGACTATCTATATTCGTTGTCATTTTACATCTTTTGATATTTAAGCTTGCCGATTCCTTCTTGCCCACATTACATTACAGTGCATTTTCAAAGGGCACATTATTAAAGTTATTGCTAATTTATGCAGAAGCATGTGGTCTTTTTTAAATGTTTATTTTAAACATTTTTTGCAAATTTTTTACATTAAAATTAACATCTGAAGAATTGTTTCAATAAAGTTTATGCAAGTTGCCGTCACAGTTTATGTAAAAGAGAAATGTGCTATTAAAATCAGACATTTAGGTTACCTTTTGGGTTTTGCGATGCATGTTAGCTTTACACATCCTGATTCTCCTGCGATAATTTTCCTTTAAAAGGGGGGTATAGGGTGATCTTTTCATCAAGCAAGACATTATGCCCTGAAAGCTGACTCCAAACCATTGTTGAAAATTCAGTTATTTACACTTTAATAACAATCTACAAATACAACTTTTTGTTTTAAAAGTATTCCCCTCGATCATGCACTGCCACAAGCAGTTTGGTTCCTAATGTTCTATTTTTCACCCCCGAGCAGTTTATTTCTCTCCCCCTAGAATGCCAGATTCTTTTGGCAGATGGGAAATAAAAAGCATTTTTCACGTCTCTCTAAGCAGCAGTTTACTTTAAGCTATCGTATTATACAGCTGTACATACACACCCTCTCAGAAGGATACGGGGAGCAACTGCAGCACCCTCCTCAAACAAAGACACATTTTTAAGTGGCTTTCCAAGTAAAGGCTACCGTAAAGTAGGAAGGGCACCATCGCAGCCCGGGGGGCTCGGGTGTTTACATAAAGCAGACAGCAAGCTTCCTTCTCCTCCTGGTGGCAGCTAAGCCTCGCATTTTTCAGCATTCATTTTGTCACGCTACGTTTAAACCAGCCATTTCAGACTCAATCTGGAGTCTGCAGTCTGGAATTCTCTGTGAGGCCACCTGAAGTCTGAATCGGTAATTCAGCAAAGAACCGTAAACACTTTCCAGCAGACTGAAGTCAGATTTCTGCCATAGCCCAGGATCAAAGTGTTTTCAATAACTTCCAGGGGGTGAAAAACAATTTTTCTTTCTCTTTTAAAAAAAAAACCCAAAACTAAGCTCGTTCAATGAGCTTGATAAACTTTTTGTGAGAATTACAAAAAACACCATTTTTTGAATGTCTCCATGTTTTTAAAAAGACAATTAGCTTTAGCATTAATTTAAATTTATTTGGAAAAAAATAGCTATTTTATCGCTCAACCAAAAAAAAAAAATGACAATTCATCACATTTACTTTGATTAAAAAAGGACTAAACTTTATTGACAAACTGCGGCAGACATTTTGACAAGTTTTAGCTACCTATTTAGGCAGACTTACACATGTAGCATTTAATCTTCAAGAACAGAGTGGGAGGACAGTGTACAAATCCAATTAGGACTTTATCCTATGTACAAAGTCAAATTTTTCCTCATTTTTTCAGCTGCAGTGTCCCTTTTTATGCAAAGCTAGTGTTGAGATACACTTGAACAAGTCCATGGGATTGCTAATATTGACAATTTTGTCAGTTTTAAACTTGCACTGTATTATCTGCCCCAAGCACTATAAAAATGAGAAGACTGTAATTTCACAGAGTTCAGACCTACTCACGTAATACTCTGTTTTCTAATATCAAACACTGGGCAATTAGAGCCATGCTTTAATTTGCTTTTCCCTTAAAAGTTCTTCATATAGAACCAAACTAAGAACCCCTTTACACTGGAAAATCCGCTTCCCAAGCATCTCTCAACACCGCACGTTCGGGGCTAGATTTCAAAACCCACGTAAGAAAAGTCAATTTTACAAACCTAATTTTTTTCTTTTTTTCCTTTTAAGTCAATTACCTTTAAAAAAATGCTATTTAATTTGTTTGAGGATCCTTCGTATTAAAATTTAAACTTAAGATTCACCAGCAATCTGCTTTTAAGGAAAGTTTGACATCTGAGGTTACTTTTAAACGGTGGCAGCTACTACCGTTACATTGTGATTTTAAATTCTTAAAAACAGCCCTGAATTTTGAAATGTAGCCTACTTTGGGATTCTGCAACTACAACTTTTATGGGTTCCTTAAAACCAAACTTAAAGGTTAACAAAACCTTAATTTCATAACTGCTAAGCAAAGCATTTCACTTTTGAAACTAACATTTTTAACTCAACTTTTTTTTTTATTAAAAAAGGTACAGTTGTGTTTATCTAAACAACAAAGAAAGAAAAGCCATCTACACACTTTAAAAAAAAAAAATTAAAGTCGGTCCTCTAAATCTATTTAACTCATTTTAAAATACTACGTACAGAAGCCAGAATGCAGGGTGAGGATGGAGTGGGAGAAAAAGGGCCACGAAGAAAAACAGTTAGACAATTACTTGTCTGGTGTGGGTAAAGCAACGGGAATCCCGGGAGATACAAGAATCAGTAACAACTGTTTGCTCATAACTGATATTTTTCCCTCATGTTTGTTTTTTAATAACGTCCGTATGGGTGCTCTCTGTAGGCCCCCTTCACTGGCCTGGCCGGCGGGGCCTTCAGGGAGGGCCTGGTTCCGTTCCAGTCATCTTGCCCTGCGGAAAAGAGAGGGATACGTCAAGGATGGCGGCGTGCTGCGGGCCGAGGGGCACGGAGGGAGCGGCAGTGCTGGCCAGCCGGGCTCCCCGGCGTCGACACGGAGGCACGGGGCATCTTCACAGCGGTTTCACCCCAAAACCAGTCTGCAAAACACCCCGCAGTCCACCAGAACCTCTCGTTTCAGCACATTTTCCCAGCATGATGGGGAAAAAGCCACTTGTGCGGGATCCCCGGGAAGCCTGCAGCTCTCACAGCCCGGCTAAGCGTCGACTTGGACAAGCCCGGTGCCTTTTAGAATTGATTTCAGCAGAGCCGAAGCCAATTCACCTGGCAGCCCTGGCAGCCAGCCATGGCGAAGGTCGCAGCAGTCAAGGCCCCCTGGGCGGGCGGGCACAAAAAAAGGGTCTGGCTGGGGGGGAACCTCGACAGGTAGCGCTTCTCTCCTTCCCGGGTGCCAGGCGAGGCAGCTCCTGGATAATTGTGCCAAAATAATTAAGTCCCTACGCTGCTGTAGGACGGCAGTGCGTCCAACCGCCCTCCCAGACGCCAGTCTGCTCTCCGGCTGTGACTGGCTCTTCCTTCCCCGCTGCGAATACAGGAAAATTTACAGCCGCAGCGCACGGAGCATCTGCTCACCTCTTGACACCCCTCACTAGTGCTGTACCAGCATCAATCAACTGCTGACGGGACAAAGCACTCGACAGGACAGCCCAAGCCCTTCTGCTCCGGACAACCACCACCGAAGCAAATGGAAGTTTGCATCCCCGTTGTCCCCGAGCTAGCTCAACCCCAAATATCCGAGCTCAGCTTTCATTATGGCTTGTGCCTGCAGCATTCGTACTTGCATGCCTGCCATTCTCTCCGGGGTCACTAGTTTCTGAAAGCAAGTGTCCGAAGCCCGGAAGACAGCCGAGCCTGTTCCTACCACCATGGAACACATTCCCATTTTCTCAAAAAACTGTCTCCAGCCTGGCTCAACAATTTATTTCTCTAATTCTGTTTTCATGAAAGCAGAGACCAAAGGAAATTACTGTGGATAAACAGATTAGCTGTGGCAAGTTCATGCCAAGTATACAATGAGCATTTTGGCCTTCACATCCCAGACAACACCACCGCTCTCCTACCAAGTAGGAGGCACAAAAGCCTCTTTGTGCTGCGTGACTAACGCAGGCAACAAACCAAGCCATTGAAGGCAGGAAAGATAGCCATTACTGACAGCAGCTGTCTATTCAAATGCGTCTTAGGCTGGAAAAGCACCCCTGGTTAGGCACCTGAATTTGAACTTCTCACAACTTAAGCCCAGAGCAAGGAACAGCCCGAGGCAGGCGCAGGAGACACCACCGCATTAATGACTCCGCTTCCCCAACACCAGCCTGACACAGCATAGGGGATTCCCAGTTCCTGAGGGTCCCAGAAAGCCCCTCCAGCTGGTCGTTACCGTCACTACCCGCATTCATTCACCCCGTCAGGCAACTGATGCCCTGCTCAAGGGACTGTTTTCAATACAGCATATTTCCATGCCATTAAGCAGCTCGCTGTATAGCTCTCCTAACTTGTTTATAGTTCGGCTTGTTTACAGGGAGATGAAAATGAATCTTACTCATTGCCACATGCAGATGCCATTCATAAGCTCGGATATATGAACCCGATCCTCGATTGCCAGCACCTCAGATGTAAGGCCTATTGTTTCCAAGAGTTGGCGGTTTACACAGTTGCGGTTAAATTGGTCTCCCACACCCCTCAGTCTAGGCTGAGCCGATAGCTTTACGTAATTAAAGTTAGTTAAACTTCATAGTCTACTTGCAAGTTATATTGACCAAAATTGTTCCATCTCAAAGGGAGGCCTTCAGATGACATTTAAATCCATTTCTCAAGCAAATGCATAGTGCAGAGTCAGTATCAGCTAGCGGGTTTTTGAGGATAAGGAAGCAGATGGAATCATGCACTCATCCAGCTCAACAAAATGTAATCCGTGAAAACCAGACTGCAGCAAAAGTAGTGCTGTGGGTGGAAATCCAGAGCTCTTAAAATATTCTAAAGCTACAAGGAAATTGAAAGATTATTTCCATAGTTAAAAAAAAAAAAAAGGAATTTTAAACAAGTGTCACCTTTGAGACAATCAAGCCAGACAAGAATCGAAAAGCCACAGAATGCCTTTGGTTATTCAGACCTGGATAGTCTGCAGGGTATAAATATTCTACCATGAAAACCACTTGAGGTTCTCCTCAGAAAGTTTTTGCTCAGAGCGTGGAGCAGCACTGGAAAACAGCCGGTCGACCACAAGCAACTCCCAACTATGTGCAACCGCTGCAGGCAATTCCCAGCTATGTGCAGCCCCTTCCCTGTCAAGAGAACAGTATTCCCAGACATACCATAAGCTTCATAGGTTTCCTGTGCCTCCCCGTGTCCATAATCATAGTATTCTGTGTCCCTGGAAGAGTAATTACGTTGGTTACATACAGTGCTGAAATCTTACTCCTAAACTGACACAACTTGCACAAACACTTGAAAAGCAAAGGTGCCCAATATTGCTCCTGGCTGTGGTGGGTCTGATCACTGCTTTTACAGAATTGTCAAGGACACTGGGACACTCCCAAAAGTTATTTCCCAGGCACTCCTGGATTTCAGCAGAACAGGGCACGTTCCCTACAGCTCAAACTCAGAAATGAGTGTTTCCATTCCCTTAAAAGAAAAAAAAAGGAAAAAAAAAAAAAGAAAAAAAAGATCATGCATCATTTTCTCAGCAACAGATAGGAGACAAGCAAACTTACCCTTGGCCCTGGCTGTAGTAGCCTTCATACCCCTCATAGCTCTGGTCTGCATATGCATCATCATAGCCCTGAAACGGATGATGACATCAACAGTGTTAATGGAAGGACCAAAGATTAATGCCTGACCAAGAGTAATGGCAAAACTGAACTCGGGCTACAGCAGCTTTCAGAGGAGCCTGGGAATCCTTGCCTGCCACAGGGAAGGGGCTCAATCCTAAGACACAGGTCGCCAAGATCTGCTTGTGTCCTGCGGCTTGGGAGGAATGAACCACAGCAACACTAACAATGCGCTTGGAAGTCGTTTACGTGCCCAGGCAGCCAGTTTGTCTGTGGTACAAACCCACGTGCCAGGAGGCTGTAATCTAAACCACAGACTTACAGGCAGACAAACCCCAACCTATTAACTTATGATTGGTTTCAGTGGAAAAACTGAGAAGTTTTACCAAGAAGAGAAACGGGACTTTTTAGATGTGTCAATATTTGTGATGATTCCTGAAAATGCTGTTGTGCATCAAAACCAGGTGGCTCGTTTCTCCTTCAGAATAACCAGAGCACAGATGCCAAGATAAGCTTGGCAGGAGGGTGGTGCTTAGTTATATGGCTTGAACCATCATCAGGTTCATTCACGTATTTGCTTTAAGGCCTTTAGGGGAAGAAAGAAATCTTTGGTGTTTCTTGCTAAAAGCATTCTCTTGCAGAAAGAGAACGTGATGTGAACTACTACATCAATCTTTGTGACTTAGTTTTTCTACCATGCACTGACAGTTATGGCAAACTTCAGTCTTGGGGGCACATTTCAGTTTTACAAAACCCACCCCTTACCCTGTATTTAGGACTAAAGGGGCAGAGCAGGTCACCCAGCACCACGCAGTGTTGGCACTGGTGGTCACTTCTCCAGAGCAATCTTACTGTGGTCAGCCCTTATTTCAATGATGTCGCGTATCTAACACATGCTCAGCTAGCTGGAATTAAAAAACCCCAAAGATATATAGTTTCTTACATATTCCTCATAGGTTTCTGGTGCGGGAGGAGGAGGAAGCGGTATTCTCTGGATGCCGGCTGCACGTGCTCTGGGTGCAGGAGCACCCCGTACTGCCGGGGGAGGAGGCACTCCGCGGGCTACAGCAGCTCCCCTGGCAATGGCACCCCGCACCGGGGCTCCTCGCACAAGGGCCCCCCGAGGAGGAGGAGGAGGGGGGGGAGGACCAACACCGCGCCCCCTGGAAAGGAGATAAAAAGGATTGTGAGCAGCTCCTGCCGTACTGCTCGTGGGCTGAATGCTGAGGGCACTGCACGCGCTGTTACACCTGCTTTAAAATGCAACAGCTTGATAAACAAACGCAGTCACCACTAAGCCATGAATTCTTTATCAGGAAGGAAAGCACAAGAATTGTTATCAGTGTTCTATTGCAGGATTTACAAAAACCTCTTCTGGGATTAGAACTCTACTGCATTAGATGTTGTACGGATGAAGAAATAAATCTGATACAGAACTTTGGCCAAGTAATTTCTCAGAGTTCATTTTAAACAACCCTCTATCACTAACCCATAATGATTGCCAGACCTCCAGGACTGTAAAGATCAACGATGAGATGAGCAGGGATGCTTTTGGGCTAAACACTCAGAAGCAAAGGCTTTCCCCCCACAAAATATGTAGTGAAGCAAAATCTACAGTAATGGAGTTTTATGACCAATTTATCCCAATGCCTTGACAGCAATGACAGAATAATGCCATCCTATAACCTTCAAAGGAAGGTCAGTTTAAACTGAAAATGCTCATTTTGCTGAAGGCTACAGCAGCAAACATGACACATCTATCTACATGTGATTTTGTGGGCCAGTTTTTGAAAGGTTACTTTACGAAGCTACTGATTTCAGACACCAAAAATCACACAGAAGACATCCACGGCGTTAGATCACATCTCAAAACACAAAACATTTGACACCAGCTTGCTAAAAGCATTGCAACACGAGGCTAGAAAGCCTTGGCCGAAAGCCAAGGTCAAAGCCAACAGCTGATGTGTGAGAACGAGTAGCTTAACCTCATCTGTCAGGACAGCACCGAGCAAGATGCAGCATTTCCAGGTCCGTGCTTTTGGGAAAGATACCTTGGAACAGGTGGAGGTGGTGGTGGAGCTGCTCCCCTTCCCCGCACAGGGACTCCTCGGCCTCGAGTTGGCTCTGGCACACCGTTCAGATAGGAGAGCTCCAAGAATTGCTCCTGACAGATATCATCCATCAAAAAAAAATCAACTCCAAAGAACAGCTAACTAGCCAGTCTGTGCTCCAGAATATCACAGGCTACCGTGCTGGAATAAAACCAACCTGAGAGTCCTAAATTAAAATCTGCTGGTTAGTTTCACTGGGATTTGCTCAGCAGGCAGCAGTGCACAACTGCCAGCTTTCTCCAAACCGGCCAAGAAGGACACTGCACGTCCAGGAGCTGCAGTGAGCGCTACAACTGGTCCCTGGGAAGAGAACCTCGCTCGTAGGGGTTCTGGAGGCATCTGATGATGTCCAGCACCCCAGGGATGTCAGCAAGATTTATCTGCAACTGTTGGAGAGTTTAGAGGTGAAGTCAGGCAAGACATACCTCACCTCAAGCACCTTACAGCTCCCATTTAAAGGCAAGTGGCTGGCAGTGAGCCCACGCCACATAAAATACTGCTTTGTTCCTGACACACTGAAGGAACAGGATAGGACGCAGCCTGACAAAGAGTAAACACCCATTTGCAAACCCAGGCTGTCTTTTCAAATTCTTAGGAACACAGTATGTGTCTGGCTCCATGTGTTTTTATCACCTCAGGGGATCTAGCCTCAGGAATTAGTCCAGATTTCTGGTGACCCCTCAGAAGCCATCGTACCCCACCCCTCCCCTCAACACACGGGCAGGCTGGGCCTCACACCGAGGATCTTCACGATGCCATGGCAACATCACAAAGCAAGGAGTCTCCTACCAGATGTGTCTTCACAGCACTGCTGGCTTCCATAGTGACTTCTCTGTCAATTTTCACAAGTTTAACACATTGTTTGAAGGCAGCGATAGATAAGACACTTTAAATAGCAAGGCTGCACGCTTGCTTTAGCAAGCTGAGGTTTTGTACATCCCAGGGGCTCCTTGAAGATGACCTCTTTCCTTCAAAGACACTTCACACAGCAATCTCTCCTCTCCGTGTGAGACTCACAGAAATCACACAGTACCCACACGCTCTTTCACACTTCCCTACTACCCACCTCAGGTTCCACCTGCTCCTGGTATTTCAGGCAGAACATCTGAGCTCCCAGTCTCAGCTGAGGAGCACAGTGCCAGGGTACGTTCAGCTCTCTACCTGCCCGGTGTCTGAATTACAGGCTGAGCTAGCCAGAAGCAGGGAGCACCGTGTGCTTCTTTCCCATTTTGTTGTTCTCCTAATTTAGCAAGCAACACTATTGTTTTAATAACATGCAAAAGGCTCCTTCAAATTCTGCAGTTCTCGGAGGTGATGTTCTAGCTGGCACAAAACTGACATGAAGTTGGCTGTGAAGGTCTTGTTAAGGGTCATCAGTAAAAGACACCCACAAAGATACGCGTCATCGGTATAGATGACGCATTAGCACAGAGGTTCCTTCACATCATACACATTGAAAGCAACAGAAATGTTGATTTAACAGATGTGTCTCAGAAACCAGCTACAACACTGAATACTACTGCCTGGGTAGTCACCCTCCTCATCCTCACACCACCCCTTCAGAGCAGAGCAAACATCTCCCTACTTACAGTTGCTGATCTGACCAATGAGTTTTGTAGCCAGATTTTTACGCTGCAGTTCTAAGTCAGAGGAACCCAACCAAGAAGTCTCTTCCATGCCAGGCATGGCTGAACTTACTCTCCTGCTAAAACTGGGGGAGAAGTAAGTACTCCAGATGCTCTATACAATTGCCATGGAAGTGTATGTCTTTCTAACTACGCTCAGGGGACTAACACACGCCTTCATGCAAGATTAATGGGGTCATCTTAAGCTGTCACACACACACTTAATACTTCAGGTTTCCTCCACTACACCGATTCCTGTAGCGTGAGCCTTACACTGTGCAATCTTACCCATCGTTATAGCCAGAGTCACAAACCCATCTACATCCTTCAAAAAGGACCTCAGGACACATACCGGAACAAGGAACTTCTTGACTTCTTCCATGGCGTGAGCCATCAGAGCATATGCTTCACAAGGGGGTCCAAACACTTCAATGAAGACATGCAAATCCATATTTAGATGAGCATATTTAGGATCCCCCCCTTTACGCAGTTCTTCCTCCTGAAATGAAGCAGACAGAAGATTCCTAAAACTAAATCAAATGCAGAAGCCACTCTTCTTTTATCTGTTTTTCTACACCCTAACAGGAAATGTCTGTAAAAGCGTTCTGGCCATGCCTGTACACAGACATATGATAACACACAAGTGTAGTTTTATGAAAGGCCCCACGCAATCTACACCTTCCATCTTTCTATAGCTGCCTTTTCAGGTGACTCATTTTTGCTAAAGCATTGATGCCAGACACTTTTTTTTTCCCCCAGAAGGTTAAACATACACAACCAGTGTTCTTCCTCTTCTACACCACCTTTCTGCCTGAGGTGCTCTTTACCACCTAGTGAAGTCTAATGCCGCAAGCAAGCTTGCTTTTTAACTCTGCTCTTAGATACCCGTGTTATTCAGATGGCTTTAAGAAGCTACAAATAAGCCGGAAGTGTAAAAGCTTTTCATGCTGCTCAAGTGAAAAGCTGAATTTAGTTACAGTTCTGTTGACTGTTAGCTCAGTTTTGGGAGTAAAGCGGGAAGAAAAAAAAAAATTATTTTCATTTTTTCTGCTCAAAAAAACCCTCCTGGCACTTTGCAATTCACTAAAGATTACCAGGAACATCCTGCTCCAACATCTTCAGTGAACCATGAGAATTTAAGGATTTCAGAGGGAACAGCTGGAAAAAGGATTTTTATTTTATTTTTTTTTTTTCTGGAGGGGAAACATATTCCTTTAGCGAATCACCTTTCACGGAGTAGCTGGAATAAATTCTTATTTTATAAACTTTGTACTTCACCTTTCATATAAACTACCTCTGCATCCAAGGGCACACGATATCAAAAGATGACTAGCCTCTAAGTCATGCTCATAAAGAAAACATACATCACACTTCTGCCCCTGTTGATTGCTCCCAACACCACAGAACAACTGAGGAAGGGCAACTTCCTACTGCCTTTGCTTTTGGATTTTAACGGTTTAATCTTTTATAAAACGCTGTCAGAACTACTACTTCTCACAGCAATATGAAGGGCATTAATATGTTTTCAAGGGTGATGCCCTCACCTTTGCTTTATCTCGCATCGAACCTTTCCCAAGCACAGATATCTTAGCACCAGTTTCTTCCTGAAGTCTCTTGATGGTGTTGCCTTGAGGTCCCAAAATCTTTCCAACAAAGTTGAACTGTAAATGAAGAAAAAAAAAAAAAATTAGCTCCAGAGCTCAGTAGCCTTAAAAGCTTTTCTGAATGTTATGCTGGCTGACAAAAAAAAATTTAGCCACTCCATTTTCTCCTCACCTTACCAAAAAATACAGACCAAAAAATGCACAGGAAAATTTAAGTTCCAGAACATTCTTTTAATGAAAAAATGCTCCACCAGAAAATCAAGCTTAATTAACTCACATAAAGCATTTCATTCTAATGCCTACTCTCCGGTAGTTTTACAGGCAGCAAGTCTTAAGAGTTAAATAAGTTCTTAACTGTAAAACACAAAGCTCTACACATGGAAGTGTCTATTCCAGTAATAAAGGATCCAAAATATGCATCACCATTTAGCTTTATCCCAGGACATTCTAGAAATGCAATATATTAGAAATAAGATCCTGCAAGCTTGCATAGGAAAAATTCCACAGCGATAGTGGAAAGCTGGCATAACTCCTGACGACACTCTGACAGCTACTATCTCTAAAAGTCAGCCATAAAATCCATAGAAAATAAGCAAATCACAGAGATTCAGTAAGCTATTTTCTGGCCCTCACCTTGGGGTACTGTTTGACAGGTATCAGAACTCGTTCTTTCAGTTTCATATTCTTGTGGGAAAATAAATCCAGGTAGTTCTCTTCCTCATCCTTCTTTGTTGTTTCACCCTTCTGAATTTTTTCAATTTCTAAACAAGATAAAAATAGGGCTGCTTATATTCCTCAAACAAGCATTATTTTTAGAGTTGGAATTATGACAGGACATACCACCCTCATTCTCTGTGAATATATGAACACTTATAATTGCATTAATGGAATCTGGATAGACAGGCCACCTCTTTAGTGCTAGCCCAGCTTGCCTCTTCCTCCCTTCACATCTAGGGATTCCAGAAGGCAAAAAAACGGGATAATGAACAAAAATAAGAAAGAACAGCAGAGATTACCCTACAAATAACTTCAACAGGTGAGAGCAGGAAACTGCAAGAACAGTTTTGCGCGTCACTTCTGCTGTGCCTTCTTCCTCTATCGGTCCCCAATCTCATGCCTCCTCCACGAATGCAGTACCCACGTGGAGACTCCTAAACCTACCAAGAAACCAGCCCAACTACACTAACTCTATGTGCTCTACAGTGCACCAGCCACCAGCAAATCAGGCAGGTTTTTATCATTCCAGCTGACGTACTATTTAAAAATCCATAATTTAATTAGTGGTGCCAACACATACTGACACTACGAATTTCGGCTAAGCCGAAAACATTCCTGATAAACAGAAGCCTGAATGAGCGACACACTAGAGTGCAGCCTGGCTTATGAGATTCTTACAAGCTTCATTTCATTAAACGAATGTACCTTTATCACACCAGCAATTCAGAACTTGGTTTTTAAGTCGTAAGCCTCAGGCATATAGCCATAAGAGTGAGCGTCAGAAGGCCTTAACTTGATTCAGGCAATACTACCACAAATTTTTGTGCCTCAAAATAAGATTCTGATTTTTAATTGTATATCGTGAATTAGAGAGTCTTGGAAAAACACTGGGGTGGCTTGACTGAACTGAAGGCACGCCACAGCCTGAGGGGGATCTGGAACAAAGTTCAAATAACCTTCTGGAAGTAGGTCATTAAGGTATGCCAATTAGGAACTTGTGCACAAACACCTCCTTAAATCCAGCTAGAAATTCAACTTTCACTGAAGGATAGCAGGAGACTGTCATCTCATAAAAGACGACCCAAACGGAGAGGACCGAAGATCATCTTCAAGGCAGGAATTTCTGGCATAGGTTCTTACAGTCATTGAACAAGACAAACTCCCAACATTTTTCAAAAGAATGCAGCCCATAGCTGACTGGCTTTTCTTTTCCAGAGATGTCCAGTCATGTACACTTTTTATTTAACGGCCACCAACTAGACAATGAGTTCCCCCAAAATTGGAGCCAATCCATTATTGCCAATCCCAAATGACTGATGAACCATTATGCACACTTTGGTCCAACCAAAAAAAAAAAAAAACCCAACCAAAACTGGTCACACCGTGCAGAGCCATCGCAAATTACTATTTACAGATGCTTATCAGGGAAGGAGCATGACCCTTCCTTAAAAGTTAAATTGTGCCACTTCATCAGCAAACCCAAGATCTATAAATATCTGAGTCAAAAGTGCTCTAAATACAACTTCTCACATCTCAGGGGAAAGAGAGACACTTTCACAAGATTATACACATAACTGATTAAAGCTGCAAGACAAAACTGAAACTGAAGACTGCTTAGTCATTTCCAGAATTTAAAGAGGGCAGCTGCAATATACTGTGTTTCCTGGGATTTCTGTCCATGTCAGAAACTATATGGTTTGGACTAGATGTTCACATTTACAGTGGAAACTGTGGAAGGCTGGCGGATCAGATACTTGGCATATCCGATACTTGGCATATCATCCACCCACTAATATTCTCATATCATCCAAACAGAAATAGGAACAACGTGTTACCATCATCCTTCTGACTGGGCGGGCAACCACAGCCTCATGGGCTTAGAAGCATCTTTCAAATGGTGCAGACCACAAGGAAGTCAAGCAACTACATGTGCAACCAAAAAAAACCACCCCATGATCAAATGATCAGTATTTTAAGGTTTCAATTACGGACACAGTAATATAAACTGGTTTTTAGTTCAGAGATCTAAATATAGAAGATAGGAGATTGTGTTTCTTAATTACGAAAAAAAGCCTAAATTTTGTATTTCTACTTGTAACAGCATCTTGGCTCCCTTACAAAAGTGTTACCATGACTCCTTAGTTTAAAAAAAATTACCGGATCTAATTGCTTTGAAAAAGATAGCTTGACTTTGGCTTTGAAAAGAAATTATTTTGTGGAGATACTATGCAAAAATAAAGAACCCAGAAGTTCAAGCACTGTCAAGTTTATAAAGTAAGCAAAAGAGCTGGCTGCCTCGGTCAGTTTTACATTTTTTTTTTAATTTTAGCTGTAAGAAGAGATCAGAGACTCAAGATCTGGAAACTAAAGATCACACTGGTGGCCTTATCCCTGGTTAGGCACAGCTTTAGACCCTATAATACAATGTGATTACTTCTCAAATGTTTTCGTTCTCCAAAACCAGGAAGTGAATTTCTGAAAATGCATCCTGTATACTAACAAGAAGTCTTTTCTACGCACATATCAAGAATAAAAGCACCCTAAAACTCTCTGGATGTAAATTAAACTACCCAGGGGCATCTTCTACCTTGTCAAAACACAACGCAATCAGACATAAGCCTCTGCAAACCAGCGGATCACAGTTCACATCAACCACACAGCAAAATCCATTCTGCCTCCTGCAACAGTCGCCACGACACCTGGGGATCGGCCTGTGAGGGCAACAAATAATTGACCATTTGCTAAAAAACCCAAACCAAACCAAAACAATCCACCCATCAGATCCACCATTGCCACGTCTTCAAACGAAACACAAAACATCAGAGAAGAAAAAAAGCCCTGCACAGCAGAGTGAGTTCTGGAGCTCTTGCAATTGAGGTCAGCGTGGGTGACCTAGCAGTCCCCTTCACACCTTCAGAACAAACTCCCAAGTCTGGAAATAGGTGTGAAGGAGGACTAAAAACATGCCACTTGTGACGTGTCCTACTGCTCCGGATTCCAGCGTTATCTGTATGCATTCTGGCATATTAGCTACGCAACATGAAGCAGTACTGAATGAACTGATGAGTGGTAGCAGTTTGTCAGACCACTTACTGATACGAAGGAGAAGCGTACGGATACCTTGAGGGATTAAGCATGCCTCATTTCAGTGCTGATTTTTTAAAGCCGTGTCAGAGGTGCAGCAGAAGGTTACCTTCTTGCCACGGGGAATGTCAGCAGTCTGGCGGCATGTGTGGCAGTGGTTTCCAGGACTTCATGTGGGGCAGTGATTGCATTGTCTCAGAAGAACTCCTAAGGGGTAGGTAAAGGGGGTTGGTAACACCGCTGCTTCACAAGGAGGAGGCTAAGCAGCCACAGTGCTACTCCTGCTCTAAGCCCAAGCTCTTCCTTAACAAAAAAAAAACCCCGTATTAAACATTGTCCTGCAGCACCTTGCGCTCTGTAAGCAGAGACACATTCTGCTTATAGGTAATGCTGAGAGTATTATCTTAACAGTACGATCATACTGACCCCATGCCCAAAAATACCCCCGCCAAAACCCGAAAGACTTTGGGGATGGGAGCTCCTGGAAGAAAGCAGAGCCCCCTCTCTCCTACGCTACTGCTCCCCAGCTGGTTCGGTTTCACAGGAAAGGAAGCAGGGACCTGTTCCCGGATGGACTCTGCCAAGAGTGGAAGCTGCAGGATTTGGCAAGCCTAACCCCACCGTTTCCCTCCCGCTTTCTGCTGTGCTACACCCCCCACCCTCCAGCCTGTATGCTGGGATTCAGATGCAGACAGCTCTGCTTTGAAGCTTTGCTGAGAAGGGAGGGGACTGCCACCAGCCCAGGGAGAAGGGGCACGGGGAAGAAAAGAAACACTGCTCAAGCATGAGGCAAGGAGGAGAAAGCCTGGAGTGAGCTATGAGAAATGGCACAGGCTCCTGGGAGAGGAGTGGGAGGAGGCAGAGTCACGGCAGCGACAGGCAGGCTAGCATCAGCATCTAAGAACGTTGGCATGGCTTAGCAGTACAGACATTTAAAAATGCAGCAATGAAAGGGCGTCAGCATCCCACAGTCCGCGACACCGGGGCACAAGTTTAAGGCGGCAGTTACGACTCCTTTGGGGGGTAGGAGATACGCTTGGAAACACAGACATTTAGATACTCTTCTCCACTTCAGGACAGCCTTCGCTCCACGAGAAGCAAGCTTCAGGACATTGTACTGTGCTGGGTTACACACAGTTTCTCATCACCCCTGTGACCTCAGCCCATCTCTGATCCTACTATTTGGTTCCTTGGCAAGTCACTCCAGCAAGGCCACTGCCCAGCCATCTGACTTTTCCCATTTTCCTTCCTGGGAATACATACCAACTGAACGAGCCTGGCACGAGAACCAGCATGGGCAGCAGGGGATTCTGTCAAGGAGTCCTCCAACACCTCCAGCTGCTCCCTGCTTTGCAACGTGCTGCTCTAACCCCAACTGCTCGGCACTCCCTCCCTTTACGGGTCCTGCTCTAATACCCTACCCGCTGCTCTCAAGCCACCACCCACCTCCATCCCTCCTCACCGCTCCACGCTTCTGGGGATGCAAAGGGCTGCGTTTAACACAAGGACCAACTAGATGCTGACTATATAGAGACTTGCTAGCGGAATGACACAGCTCACTTATCTGTTTGCAGCGTGGGAAGCTCAGAGATGACCAGCTGAAGTTTCTCCATGAAATAAAAATAGCTAAAATTGCTACAAGAATTTGAACCCCCCCCCACACGCCTCGCTAACACTTCGTTGGACATCTCCTGTCTTCCCAGCGCATGCAAGTGGAGAGGACTGTGCCTTTCAAAACATCAGCGTCTCCTCCTGCCCTCCCCACAGCAGATGAGGGCATAAATTAAAGTGAGGAAAAGGGGTTTTCTTATTCCTATGGAAGAGGAAGGTCACACAGGCCCCACACCACAGGAGTGAGGAAACACGGATCGTATTCCAACGTGCAAGAAATCCCAGTTTCCAGTTTCTGTTCAGGGTGCTGGGTAACAGAACCTAACATGTAGCCACTTCAGTGCCTTTTCACCACAGAGCACGTTGTTCAAGAATCAGTACGACATCGCTGTGCTGCCCTCCATCTTCCTCCTAACCAATGCTAATTTTGTCTAGAAATCCTGAGCAGCTTTAGAACCTCTTAAGTATTTCAGACTACTTTTACATCTTGTTTTTAAAGAAGTCTCAGTTTCAATGCAAAACTACTGCAGGGTTCCCT